AGGGATATAACTGGAAGACTGCATGAAAGACATTGATAGAAGAGGCTCTCAGATATTATATATGGCAACACCCCAGTGTTATTTATACTACCCTTCTAAAATACTTTTGGTTACTCTTATTTAATAAAATTCTCCGTTCCCAGCACGTAAAGGCTTTATTTGTCACACTACTACTTTTCAAGCTTTCACTGATTAGGAAACACAGACACAGAATTCCAGTTGAAGGTGTTTAGGAAAGGTGAAGCCTCCAAAGCAAAAGTTAGCAAAGGCTAGGCAGAATGTGTTGACAATATAGAGAGGGAACTGAAAGATTAAACTGGCTACTGTAGATAATCATAACTGAAGACTAAGGTACTTCAGAGACTGCACCTGCCCACCCAGCTCCTCCCTCAGTCTGTGTCTAAAGCCACGGGCAAGTGTAATACATTATTTCAATAGAGTATACAATACATGTAATGTAACACATGGTATTAACTTCCAAAGAAATCTGTATAATGGCTGTTGTAGCATCCAACTCCAAATATAATAAACGCAGAATTCCTCAGTCTTTTTATTGCTGTTTTTTAAGTGTAGGAAATTAGAAAAAAACAACAGCAACAAACCAGGAACACTTCGTTTTGGTTTGTTTTGCCTTAATTTTTCTGCAAGACACGGTTCCCCTCTGCTGGACAAGAGCAGGTGTAACAGCAAAAGCTGTGAACCAAAACTGATGGAACAGCAAAATGAAATCAGCAGATGGAAAAGATGAGTAAGGAAAGACAACTGAGGCAATATATGGCTGCCCAAATGCCTGAGAAAATAAGGAGCCCAGGTGCAAAACATTAAGCAAACAACATTCAGAATTTAGACTCAGTTCTCCAAACAAGAAAGTAACATTTTTCATTACATCTCTAAAATAAGTCGCCTTGAAGGAGCTGTCATCTTGACAAACACCAGATCTCTAACTCCAAAAACAACTGTTGCCATATTTAGGATAACAGGAAGCAGAAAGAATTTCCTAAAGCAAAAGATTTTTGTCTGTGAAAAGCTAAATTATGAGCGATGAAGTCTGCACTGCGTGCAGCTGGTAAAGAAATTTAGTTGTAACTTGTGTATTGACAGCATTGTTTTCCAGGAGAAACCTTAAGCAGACCTTAAAAATTGTTTGTATTTTTTACTTTAGGTATTACATTTATATACATTTTTTTAATATGGCCACCACAGGATAAAGACAGGACAATTTCAGACATCAGCAATGATGCAGATGAAAAAGAAAACTCCTACCAGAGACACGTGTGATATCACATACGTTTTTGGGAAATACCAATTAAATCTTACTCTGACCTCTGAAGCATGATAAAGAGAGAAGTCCAGCCTTCTTCTCACTAGCCCTGAGACTGAAGTATAGTTGCCCATTTTGTTTCAGGCTTCTTGTTCCACTCTACAGATGACTCCACTCAGTCCTCTAGGGGTTGGAATACGACTTGTTTTTAAACCAAGGAAAAATTCTAAAAAAGCCACATTTAAGAGTAACATAAATGACTTCCAGGAAACAATTTTTTTTGTTAAAAATACAAACACAAAACAAAGTTTAATAATATTTTCCCTCCTTTTATTAAAAAGTCATTATACTTGACATACAATTGGCAAATATACATATATATATATGATCGTATCTCTACTTTTAAGAGAACTAATTACAGACTATTGCAAAGTGACACCAGGTGTGCCATTACTGGGTTCTGCATTGGTTTTTCATACTGAAAACTTCTAGGTTTGTTTCAGTTGTTCAGGAGATTCTGCTTTTAGCTTGCCTGTGTGATCAACAGCAGTGCATTGGCTTCAAATACATTTATTTTAGATGCCCATAAGTGCCCACAGTGCAAAGCTGCACACAGTACCTGCCACAAGATACCAAACAGGACATTCTTCTAAGGTCTTTACCATCCAGACTCATCCTTTTGTACCACTTTTCACATGGAAGCCTGTCACTCCAAGCCTTTCACTTTGTTAACCAAAGTTTGTTTCACCAAGAAACAAGTTTTCTAAACCACTTGTTTAGAGACCAGGAAAGAGGACAAATCTTACCAACAGGAAACTCTCCAGAGCTGAAGAAAGTTTGTAGTGACAGAAGTGGATACTGAGCCTCAGGAAAGACAAGTTTTTCTAATCAAACCTACACAAAAAACTTCAACTATACAGGAGCTATATGCACAAAGGAGGAAGGGAGGAAGAAATATTTTTCTGTAGTCATTACCCACACTCTCAACAGCACTACATTATATAAGAAAGAGTATCAGTCCATTTACCAAGATGCATTGTCCCATTTCCTCCTCTTGTTTTAGGTCAACTTGAAGCTTCTTTTTTCAGTTTTTCTAAAATCTCATCTGGTGTCATTGATACCGAAATCTTCACCACTTTGTCACGTGATTTACCACCCTGGTTTAGACAAACACACAAAAAAACATCTTTCAGAGAACCACCCTTGAAGGTAGGAAAAGGGTGATATTTATAAAATGTTGATGAACAACTGAAGCAGTTTGCCCATGATTCAAGAAAAAGAAGACTCAAGTCTTTGCATCTCTACCTTCTGGCAACACAGTGCTCAATTCATTGATCACATGGCCATTTACCACTATCCATTAAAAGACTTCTGTGACTGCAACATTAAACTACCAGATAAAAAAAGGTGGGTTTTATTTTTATTGCGCCCGTATGCTCATAAACGATAAATGAAAATGGCTGGAAAGACTGACTTTAAGTACAATGAATTAATAAAAGAAATTATTTATTCAGTGCAATAAATAAAACAAAGTTTCCACTTGCCAAAGTCAAGACATGTAAATTCTAAACAGACAAACTTTTGTGGCCCAGCTGTAACCCAAGTGCTTATATATGCTCTTGCTGACAGTTAAATGTCAGAAAATTTTAACTCAAATAACTTTCACAGAAGCTATTTTTTAAAAAAGAGTGAAAAGTTGTTAATAAAATCCAAATTCTCTCTGAAGCAGAAATTTTGTGAACTGCATTTCACATGAAAACAAGAGAATCTTTGAAGAATGCAGAAACAATTCTTCCTGTGCTAGGTTTATTCTCAATGAATCATGCCATTAAGTCAACTAAAAACCTTTATAAAGTGTCTTTCAGACTGAACTTGGAGACACTTTATAAAGTGTCTTTCAGACTGTACCTAAATGTGTAAGTTTCAAAATCCTGAATTTCAACTGCAGTAGGAAAAACTGAAACGAAGAAAAGGAAGTACCTTCTCTAAAACAACGTCACTCTTCTTCACTTCTAGCACCTTAGAGAGGTAGCGACACAGCTCTGCATTTGCCTCCCCTTCCGACGGGGGTGCAGCAATAGCTACACCTACTGCCTCAGCTGTCACATCTACAACAAATATTTCAAGCATTTTACGTGTGAGATATTCAAAACATCTTTTTTTTCCTAAAAATGCCTTCCAACGCATTTTAATTCAAAACCAAATAAACGTATAGATTAGCAGGGAATGACATCTTCACACTGCATAAATTCCCTTAAACTGTTGGCCAGAACAATCAAAGATAAACTTCTGACACTAAAAGCAGTCAATCCTTCAGACCGTACAGCAGTGCAGCCATAAGTATAAGATTTCTCAGTTGGGCACCTTCTAAGCTCCTCCTGATGCAGTGTTTTTCCTCCGGCATCAACTAACACAACAAAAAGCACGGTTACATCCACAAAAACCGCGTGTTAAATCAGCCTGCTCAGAGAGCCGTGCTA